GACAAGAGGAATCTTTCACTGTGTATTTTGTTTATAGTTTTTGTTGGATATGAGGTCAAAGGCAGTCTGGCCAATAAATCAAGGATCTATTGCTAATTGTCTTTGCACCTATTCATGAGAATTTGACGCAAGTGTCACTGTCATCAATTACGGGAATACATCAATGAAGTAATCTCGTTTCTTCTCTTCCCATTTAGTTTTATTCTCTTCAATATAATATCCATAAATATATTATTTCGATAGTGTTATCCTAATTTATTCATTTGCCAAATAAATAAATAATATTAGTTTTGACTGATTACGCGTAATCACATTAAATAAGAATTATTAAAAATTCACCATTCGCGACATCTTGATCTTACCGCGGACGTTATCCTGGACTTGTATTCAACGAGACTTGGCACTATCCGTGCAACATTGATAAAATCGCCAACTCGGTTAAGCCAAAAATCACGGGAAGCGATTAAGTGCACCGACCGATTTTACGATCTCTTTATATCTTGGCGGAAGCTATACTCTGAATCGAATAGCATTTGTCTCAGACAAAAATATTCTTTTCCTAAATTTTTTAGTTTTTTCTACTCTAGTTTAAATGTGTCTCCTCTTTTGTCAATTCTGATGTGTCGAAAGTAAGTTGTGAAAATTTAGCCAAGTCCATTTTAAGGTTATCTGATGGTTTAACACGTTGACTGCTAACTACGAGTTATCTCATAGAAACTTTACTAGCCATTTGCGTGAAGCTACGTTTATATTCGTAGAAAATAATGGTTATTTGGGATAAGTAGCTCCTACGAATAAAAATAAAAATCAAAGCTGGCTTACACAAACAGAAAATTGATTAATAAATTGAAAAAAAATATAAACATAAACGTATAAACAGAAACATGTAAAAAAATTTAAACATTATAGTATATGATATTAAAAATCATTTTTTTTTAAATTTTTGATAGTTTATCTGTACTACATTTAGAATAAGAATAATATAAAATGACTGAATCGAAATGACTTCTGAGACTGGAAACCTGCAGTTTACTTTGGCAGTGAATGTTTTAAGGTAATAATACGTAGATTATTGGATTAATCTTAATTTCAACCTCAACAGCATGAAATCGAAAACACATAGTAAGAATTGAAAAGTTAAGTGACATTTTAAGTAAAATGTTATTTTATTTGTTGCAATCTGTGTAGTTGATTTAATATTATTTAACTTTTATTTGAAATATTTTTACGTCAAATTATGAAACGTGTCTGAAAAATCGTAACTGACATTTGTCACCTGTCAGCATTGACAGGTATCTCGAAAATTTGTTTTTGTCTCAAAGGTTAGAAATGTAAAAAACTTCAACGAAACTGCTCTACTTTATAACAAACCTATTATTTTTACATGTAAGTATGTTTAGTGCGGTTACAGGTATTACTTATTATTACTTATAAGAGTTTGAAACGTTTATAGGTATTGCATTGCAACAAAGAAAACGCTTAAAAAATTCTTATTAGCGAGACTGACGAAGAAATTGGATAAAGAAAAATTAGCATAATTTCTCAGCAACATATAAAAATTATTAATAAACACACAGTAATTCGGAGATAAACCGAGAAAGAAATATTATTATTAAAATTTTTCACTTTTAATCAATTGTGGTGTTTTATAAGCGAATAAATGAAAAAACCAATGTTGGTGTATTGTTTTGCATATATTCACCTATCTCAAGAAACAAACATTTTATATTTTTCAGATTTTTGAAATCGACTTTTGACCAGCTTTTATGTAAAAAGACTCCACTGTGAGTTAAGTTGACCTGACAAGGGTGCTGAACTATCAAAGTCAGAATTCGTTACTAAAGATTTGTACCATTTTTATGTACTGCAGATGTCGAGGTACAATGTTGATTTATTGCTAGAAAGTTTCCCGATGAATAGCATACATGTATTACATATTATATTGAATTAAACGCAAAAATTCTGTTCATTTAATGTAAAAGGGACAATAAAACGATTAATAAACTCCCATTGATGTCGTTCTTATGATTAACTTTAGTCAGGCCCTAGTATCCTTTCCGACCCAAATCGAGATTAATGTATTGTGTATTTTTTTAAGGAGTGGGTGAAAGTTAATATATAGTTTATAGCATATTAACCGTTTTCGTAAACTATTGAGATATATTCTTCTTATTTAATGTTGTTCTTAAATCTAATAACGTAGAATAGAGTGGAAACGAAAATAATTTTGTACACTTAGCTCAAATGCTAATCACGTTTAAGAGATGTAGAAAAGAAAAATATGTTTTCAAGAAATACGTTCATCAAATTGTTTTATCAACTACTTTAACAAGCAGTAAAAGAGTTGTGAAAGTTTCCCACAGCTATTGTTATTGGTACTTGTAAAGCGACATACTGTAAGAAGGAAAATAGCTTTAATTATTTCGAGGAAGAATAAGTAAGAATACTTCTTCCAATACAAAGCAGAATTTTCTATTATAAGAACTATATAAAAAAACATTTAAGAAAATATATCTTAAGTAGGAATACAAACAATTTTTACACATGTTTTGTATAACGAAAAACAGAAAACATATTTCGTTGATATTGTACTTATATTTTCTTCAATAATAAATATTAAACTGCAATTACTCTAAATCAAAATTATGATATACATATGTGTAGTGAAAATCAATCTTAAATTAGTCATGTGTTGCTTTTGTCCGCGGTCATAAATTAATGCAAGATTCACTGAAGTCAAATACAAGAACTAAGGTAGACATCATCTAAAAAGACATTAGGAAATAATTGATCCAGCATCTATAGTTTAACTATGAATATTAACAAAAAAGCCAAAAGAGGAGAAACATGTACTTGAATGATCTAAATAAAGGGGCAACTGGATTAGACTGCACTTTTTGCATTATTGATTAGTGTCAAGCATTAGAATAATCTAAGCACTGTATATATAACTGTATAAAATGCATACCTTTGAAACGAAAGAGTTTGTGATGTTTCTGACGCCGTTGATTTTGTCCCGCTCTTCTCTGGTACTTTATTTTAACACATTGGCGACGGATGACGCATTTTCACTTCATTGATATCTTCATATATTTGTTCCAATATGAACTTGTGAAATATTACCAATGGTTCAATTTCTTTTCAGAACTGTCATATTAGATATTCCCAGAATTGGAAAGGGTATTTATGGTTTTAACTTTCTATTACATTATTCGTGAACATGTAAAAATTTTGAGCAAAAATAAGAATGCCAGAAGAAAGTGTCGTGTGTGTTATTCACATAACAGACGTCGAGAGATTTGTTATATGGGTACAGACTGTAACGTACCGGTACATCTTGGTAATTGTCTCCAAACGTACTATACGAAGAAAAAATATTAGTTTTCATATGTTACCATAAGAAAAATAATAAATTTTTATTTTTTAACCAATAATAAAATGATTCACAACCTCTAAAAAGTATACATTTTTATACAAAAAAATTATTTATACCTTTCCCTAAATTTCCTTTGTAAAACATTAATCAATTAAAACATTGTACCAGTTGTTTCTATCATAACGGAATTATAAGGATAGACGCGACATCGCCCCGTACTCACGTCAAACGCATGTTCAATTTGGTCGTTTTAACTGATCAAAATTATAAATACATCTATGTAGGAATAGAAACGCGCTGCGACACAGACAATAACCACCCGTAATGAAAGGTCTGACGATCGGTCGTGACGCAATACCTACATATATTGTAGTGTGCAGTTCTTAAGGTATAAATGGATGACTGGTTGGGTGTGCGGCTGGTGTCATATAGTGACAAGATGGCGTTGGTATGTCTATGGAAAGCGTGACTGAAGGCGGGGTGATTTTGAGTGAATGAAGATGTGCAAGGAAAGAATGTTTGGAACGGAGCGACTGGACCATGGGAATAACGTGATTAGGGAAGCGTGTACGTGACTTCGAATGTTAGCTATAGATGCAAGATACAAGGTGCAAGTGAGAGGCGATGCATGTGAAAGAAAGAAAGAGTGATGGGGGGTGAAGTTTAAAAGTTCATGGAAGTTAAGTGACAGGGTAGTACAACAGGACAAGCGAAGAAAGCATAAATGAGAATAATATAACGTAGTTTAAAACATATAATAGATACTTTTTTGTTAATTATTTAGTCCCATAAATTCTTATTAATATTAAAGCCTGCCCCGGTGTCTCAATCCTATATCTATATCGAATATTTTCGACAAAATTTTGTATAGAGTATATAGAATTATATAGAATTATAGAATTATATGTAGAATTAGAAGAGCAAATTGTGCGCAACAAAAACTCCGAACTTTCAACAAAGCACTCAAGTTTATGAGTGCAAGAATGAAAAAAAATCGATACCTTATTTCTTACATATTCAACTATTTTAGGGGGCAAAATTTGTACAGCTCAGACGAAATGTTTCAAATTGGGAGAATTGAATTGAAAAACTACCAAATCAAGTAGTGTGCGACGTTTCGTCAACACTACAGCTATCTGCTTCAAAGGTCAAAGGAAGCATTGAAACTGAAGTGCATCCAGTCCGACGCTGTATACGTGGTACTCATGTTCACGTAAGAGATCAGTTACCAATCGGGTGGGCAGCTTTTTTAATTGTTCAGCTCGGCAATTAAAAGAGAGGGAGGAGTGTGCTGCAGATTTAATTGAAATCCCGTATCCTTGTTGATGTTACTTGGAATTTGTAGGGTTTCAATCGCTTCCCTGTATTTGCGTGGAAAATATTCTTTGGATCTGTCTACTCTCTTGATTTGATGAAATAGAATTTTGTAATCTGTGGTTAAATGATGTTTGGTCACAGCAAACTATGTATACTTTCTTTTTTAAGTAGAACTGATACTACGCATAACGTTTATACTTCATAGATTGTTGGTATTATTGAACCTTTCGTAACCATATTAAGTTGTCAAGATAATTTTTTAAGATACATGTACAAATTCTAATTAAAAATATATATTTCGTTGCAGATACATGGCCATTGTGAACCCATTGAAGCCACGTATGGGTAAAAGAGCTACACTCTGCGTAGCGACCATCATTTGGATCGTAGGAGTAATACTTTCATTGCCGATGCTGCTTTTCTACACTACATTTACAGAGAATTTTGCAAACGGCGAAGTCCGAGTAATTTGCTACAGCGTCTTTCCCAACAGTGACGACAATGGTCCCAGCTACGACGAATACCTGTGAGATTATCTTAAGAATTATACTATTATTCTAATAATTGAATCCTATTTTACATTTCATCCCAAATTTTTCAGTAAATCTAGACCAATACCATCAGTTCGCGTTTTCTCTTTGTTTTATCGATAATTATCTAAATGTAACACAACCTCTTGTGTAACCTTTACCTTGACATATGTTGTTAAGGTCTTTATCCTGAGTATTTAGCATTGTAACACGTTCGTTACCATCACTTGTTTCGATAATGTTCTCAGTTGCAATATTTCTTGAAATCAAATGATTCTTTTAAATAAAACGTTGCAGAAATGAAATTAAACAGAGTTATTGAGTTCTTACATATGATATCATACCTTATAACTTTAAATAACGTTACCTATAGCATTAATATCATTTTCTTTATATATCAACATGTTAAAGTTTCTGTTTCGTGCAATATTGTAGTCACCGTATTAATATCATTCGTTCGATGTTTTGTTTATATCCTTCTTAAGACATATGTAAATATTCAAAGTATCTAATCTAAATCCGTACCCATAATTCTCTATACAAAGCTGATTCTTTTTTGAATGGAACATATTACATTTCGTAAGCTGTGTTTGAATTAGTTGGTTTAATCGGACCGCTTCGTGACAGAGGCTATCAATTCAAATCGATGTAGGAAAGCCAATAATACATATCGTCCGTCCATGATTTGACAATTGAGTTGAGGAATACAGGCCTAATTGTCAATTTTTATCTCATTCTGTATCCTAATTTACTATTCGTCAGTACGATTACATGTAACTAATCAAAACTATGAATAAAATACATAATGAGAGACTTGTTCCTGTGCCGTTCGGTTTACCAATAAATAGTGGATTGACAGTACACGTGCGTCAATTATATTGTCATGAATATCTTATATCTTACATTTGTAGGAGAACAAATTAGTTATATAGAATCTCCTCTGCGACAACATATCCAAACATCATCAAAATCGAATTAATTACATAAATCATCAAAAATAATTAGTAATTAGGGTATTTTGAAAAATTTTATCTTTTAAAAAATCTTATTTTGTAATTTTATAGACGTGGAAGAACAATGTATTTTTGTTCAAACTTTTTTTGCTATCTCTTATCGTTTTCAAAATAATTCACGAGAAAGAAAAATTTGCACTTTTTTCAAAGGATGGTATCACCCCTTCAATGTGAAATTCTGCACTAAAAATGTTTATAATGTGTTAAGCTTAACACATAAAGTTTCATAATTTTCTTAATTTTCGGGTTCGATAACTTCCCTTATTATCACAACTCTTACATTGGATAATTATTTCGTTTCGTGTAATGAACGTATCAACTCTTATAAAACTGTTAAGTTAAAATGCAAGGTAATTTTATCCTAGTTGTAACTACTACTATATTTATTTTATATACTGTTATTCATATATGTATTTATATTTGTACCAAGTAATCCTTCTGTTTAGTTTCTATTTTATGCAGCTGTAAATCACATAACAGAACCAATGCAACAGAAATATGCACGCATTCAAATTTAAAGTTGTGAACCATATCCTTTCAATTGTGTTGAAGCTACTGTAGTAGTTATTCAAAATATTTGACACCGATATACTCGGTAAATTTTATAGTCTGGACTGTAATTTAGTTGCGATTGAAGATATAAGAAATCTCTAGAGGAAACGGTTACATTGTTTAATAAATTCGCTATCATCACGTAATAAAACTTTTCATACCAATAAATTTATTTGTTTTGCACGAATCGATTCTTTGTAACAGTTTGAATAAAAAATGACTGGGTATAGTCATAAAAGACTTAATATTTTTTTAAATATTTATCATCATCCTATGGAGACAAATAGGTAATTATATTTTGTAACTACACCGATTCACTTCTATGAAAAATCGCATCACACGATCACACAGTAGATCTAAAATATGTACCTGTGGTAATGGAGATCATGTTAAAATATGATTTCAAAGTCAACATCATATTTTTCCATATTTACACAATGTTTTATAAAGATACGTTGTAGTCAAAAACTAGATTACTCAATATTCTATTAAAAATCGCCAGAGGCCTAAAAGAAATTATTAACTGACACATTAAACCAATCATCCTCTTTATAACATTCAAGATCAGAAATATATATAAGACGAAACTATAAATATAGATGATAAACCAGAGAATTTCGATCGTCTACGCTGTGAAATATAGGAGTCAAATAAATACGGAACGAATCTCTGGGGGCAAGTAAGTAGAATTACGAGCTGCAAATGATCTGCAGTGCATCACTTCTGATCCAGACAATTTCAATAAAGACATTTTTCAATAGATTTTTCTTAATAGCTTTTTCTTAATTCATATTTTTTAATTTTTCAAAATGTTTATTTTATTTCATAATAGTAACGAAAATTCAGATTGCAATCTAAGACATTTTTTACTATAATTTCAACAAATAGTATAGGTATACAGTAACAGCTATCAGTTTAAGCAGGCGAATCATTACTTTGATTCTACATATATAATATGAGTATTATCTTTCCATTGGACTAATTATTTTAATATAATATAGCCGCATATTTGACCATCTTAATGTGGTAGCTACGGTTACTAAATGTTAAATGGAACACAGATAGGAATGTACTTCTTTATTGTAGTTTCTTATGTGCAATGAACACTATGTAATTTAAGACAATTTGTTTAAGAAATAATGATAAATTCTTTTAATAATTTTGTACAAAAACATCAAAAACTGTATGAAACATAACTTTTGTCACTTTAAACTACCTATATTAGGAAAGACCGACATAACATTCATTTATGATAAAAGGGAGCAGTATTTGAAAAAAGCAATTCGTTTGCAGAAAGATACGTTTCCTAATCGTAATTGTATATCAAGAAATAGAGTCACTTGTTTTACACTCACATGTGGATTTTCATTGACTTTAGCTGCAATAATTCCTTTATTCATTTCAATAGTAACAGTTTTAGTTCTCACGCGTTTTTTCACATTTACAGTTTAATGACAATTTTTTATTACCTTTGCATATGTGTTTCATTATGAATGATTGCTTAGGGAATGCATTTGTATGGTTATATGAAAAGAACCGACAGGAAAAAAGTTCACATAACGAAAAGCGAACATGGAAAGTATTACACAATGTAAAATACGCTCAGTCCATAATCCGTAGATATTTGAATTCTATAATTCTAAAGCAAACGCGTAGGCGGGGGAAACCCACGTATATCAACCTTTATTATATAAATAGATTTCTTCTGGGTGCATAGTAGCAACAGTCGTTATAATCAATTGCCAAAACCCTGTTGTATTAAAGAAGAATTGCAAAACAATAAATAGTTTATTCAACAATAAATAAATATTTTTCGTATTGTTCGCATTCTTCTGTGTTTCTTTTCGTACATGTGCACATTCTTCGTGTACGCCTTTTTCTGGTCACCATCTTTGTTAAAATCGAATTGCTCCTCTCAAGTTGTACTGGACACTTTTACTATAAATGAATATCATATCGATCTTTTCTTAGATTGAGTATTCCATTATGAATTACCGACGACTTTCGGTATATTAATCGGTATTTATAGCTACTAAAGATTATTATTAACGATGTAGTAACATATTTATATTTCTATTAGACTCTGGATTATCGCATCTCGCTCAAAGTCTGTGACCTCGATAAAAATAAAATTATACGTAAAGCTAAAACTTTTAGATATCAGTATCATTTCAAAGTCATGTTCTTGCCAGCTACACAATGCAATAAAAAAATGCATAGTTATGTGAAGAAAACATGAATTGCCGTGAATATTCTAAAATAAATGACCTTAGGAAAAAAGTATTCTTACCCATTATTAGCCTTTCGATATTTACCAAATTAGCCATTTATGTTGGATGGAGAAAATTCTTTGCATCATCACAGTTCGAAAAGAAATTTAGGTAACCTCGTGTAATCGGACAACCCTGTATAAAACAAAAAAATATGAAAAATAAATCTTGGAAGTTGCAATTAAATGAAAGAGAATTAGTCGTAATTCTCCGGAAACGAAAAAAAAACATTTGCATAAAATTCTAATGGGTATCAATGGATGAAAAATTGCTTTTAAGCAAATACAGTACGAGTTTTGGGAAACTGATACACACGGGAATTACACATCGTTTGAGTGAGAAGAATCGTCTGCATACTACAGTTGACAGTGCAAGTGAAATAAATACAATATAATAATAATATTCCAATCAGAATTAGAACTGTTCAGAGATAATTAGAATATTTTCAATTAATGTTGAAATTTAATCAATTGTAACGATATTCGAAAAAGAAGACGAAAATTTCTGGCACAATGCAAAACTTTAATGCTTCATAACTTTTAAACGAATACTTACTGTTAAAAAGTTTGAAGTCCTGGGTATGCAAAACAATGGCCTTAACAGTATATGTGGAGGTGAAGGTCATACGAGGGTTACACTTTTTGTAACTAAATACGAAACCTTCCCATTCGCGGGCACATTTTTGCAAATATCTGGAAAACTAAGGTCGAGCTACGGTAACATGTATAGGGAAAAGTTTTTCAGAATAATGACATTGACAACATATTTTAAGGTCCTCCAATTCAGTGAGGAATCAGTGTTATAAATAATTACCTGTGAAAGTAAATTAATTCCTTTTGTGCAAGATACAAAATGTTGAGCGTGATAAATATATTATGCTGGTCGCGAACGTGTTAACCATGAAGGTTGGAGTGTAATGGCGTGGGTGTGTTTTTCGCGTTGTAATCCTGAACCAATATGTCGCATTGATGGAATTATGGATTGATTACAATACAGGTAGCCCTTCTACAGCACGGCACCCTACAATACGGTTTCGCTCTAACACGATAAGATAAATTGCAGAAATTTTTGTATAACACTGTACACGGCTTCACACAACACGATATTTTCTAGGAACCTGTCTACCGTGTTATAGAAGAGCCACCTGTACACAAATACCCT